ACGTTCACTGTATGTGGTCTAGCTAAAAACAAAACAACTCCAAACCTTTTTTCACCAGCCTAAAACTAGAAAACTTATTGAACTTTAAAGACATGTTTGAGCATTTCCAATTCAAAGAGAAAATGAAGTCGAATGGTTAGCTGCTCACAGCCAGTTTCATCCTTCAGTTTACTGCTTAGACTTTTAAAAAATCCATAACCTTCAGTTTGGTCATAGAAGCACTGTTAACAGCCCTGTTGTCCCCTGAGCTGAGTGAGTCCTGGAGGGGCAGCACCCCCTCCTGCCCTGGGGACTCGGGTGACGTCCGGCTATATTCTGTAAGGGGCCACTGACAGAGTTTAGCATTAACACCAAAAACACAGAGGGATGTTGTCACTGGTGTGAAATGTTTGAAAGACAAAATAGCTGGGCGTGGTGGCTCACACCTGTAATCCCAGTACTTTGGGAGGCCAAGGCGGGTGGAGCGCCTTAGGTCAGGAGTTCGAGACTACCCTGGCTAATATGGTGAAACCCCGTCTCTACTAAAAATACAAAAAAATTTAGCCAGGCATGGTGGTGTGCACCTGTAATCCCAGCTACTTGGGAGGCTGAGGCAGGAGAATTGCTTGAACCTGGGGGGTGGAGGTTGCAGTGAGCTGAGATTGTGCCACTGCACTCCAGCCTGGGCAACAGAGCAAGACTTCATCTCAAAAAAAAAAAAAAAAAAAAAAAAACAAAACATGTTAATATCTGTTGGTTCCCAACAGTGACCTATAATGTTGGTTGAAAGATGTTTGGGGATCTGTTTAAATCATATTGAGCAGCGTCTCTCGTGGTTTCAGAGAATATACTAACATAGAGAATGTATCGTTTTTGTTTTGAAGGTTTAAGTGGCAGAAGTGTTTTCAGAGGTTTCAGATATATAGAGACTGAGAGAAGTCATCTCGCCCTGCACCCCCTTCCCTGCCGTGCTGTCATCCATCTTTGTTTGTTGTTGTTGTTGTTGTTTGAGACAGGAACATACTCTGTTGCCCAGGCTGGAGTGCAGTAGTGCAATCGTGGCTCACTGCAGCCTCACTCTTCTGGGCCCAAGCGATCCTCCCAGCTCAGCCCCTCTGAGAAGCTGGGAACACAGGCACATGCCAGCACACTCTACTTATTTCTTTATTTTATTTTATTTTTTGGTAGAGATGAGGCCTCACTTTGTTGCCCAGGATGGTCTTGAACTCCTGAGGTTCAAGACCTCAGGAGGTCCTCCTGCCTCAGCCTCCCAAAGTGCCAGGATTTCAGGTGTGAGTCACTGCACCTGGCCTGAGTGTCCATCTTTGTTAAAGAGTCAGATTCTCGAATGCCTATGATGGGTTTGAACAACACAAGCAAGGGTGGGAGGGATTGACCTTATTAGTCTTGAGATATGTCTTAAAGCCATGGTGATTGAAACTATGTGGTTTTAGGGACAGGAAGAGACAAATAAAGCAATGGAACAGAAGAGATAGTGCAGATGCAGACCAAATACCCTGTAGGAATTGGATGGGCTATAGCATGCATCATAAATCCTGGGGAAAGAATTTTGTAAATGATGTTGGGATATATGGATTCAGCTATATGGAAAAAAAAAAAAAACAGAAATTGGATCCTTCCTCCAAATGCATCAGAGACCTACATGTCAAAGGTAAAATTATATAGCCAAATGAAATATTGCATAAAGAAGGCTTAAAAAGTGCAAACTGGTTGGGCATGGTGGCTCACGCCTGTAATCCTAGCACTTTGAGGGGCTGAAGTGAGAGGATCAATTGGGCCAGGAGTTGGGCCAGGGCAACATAATGAGACTCTGTCTCTACAAAAATATATATATATATATGAAAATTAGCTGTGTGTGGTGCCACAGGCCTGTAGTCCCAGCTACTCAGGAGGCTAAGGTGGGAGGATCACTAGAGCCCAGAAGGTCAAGGCTGCAGTGAGCTGTGATCATGCCACTGCACTCCAACCTGGGCAAAAGGGCAAGACCTCATCTGTTTTTGTTTGTTTGTTTGTTTGTCTTTTGAGATGGAGTCTTGCTCTGTCACCCAGGCTGGAGTGCAGTGGGGTGATCTCAGCTCACTGCAACCTCCACTTCCTGGGTTCAGCCTATTCTCCTGCCTCAGCCTCCTGAATAGCTGGGATCACAGACAGCTGCCATGAGGCCCAGCTAATTTTTGTATTTTTAGTAAAGGCAGGGTTTCACCATGTTAGTCAGGCTGGTCTTGAACTCCTGACCTCAAGTGATCTGCCTTCCTCGGCCTTCCAAAATGCTGGAATTACAGGCATAAGCCACCGTGCCCAACCTGTTTTTTTTGTTTGTTTGTTTTTTTAAGTGCAATATGTAAGGAAAAAAAGTAGATAGATTTGACTATATCAAAATTGAAAATTTCTGTTTGACCAAGGACAGTGTCTAGATAAAAGGTGATATACTAGAAGAAAATGTTTGCAATATCTAAAACTGATGTGATGAATAACTAGAATAAAGTAATGCATGTCTAAAGTTCAGCAAGAAAATGGCAAAACATTCACTAGAAAACATGAGGCTGGTACAAGTTTGCAGCTGGAAGAAGGTGAAACAAGTGTGGCTAACACACACAGTAGGGGAGGCTAGCTTCACTAATGCCACTGCCACCCACGGCTGGCTCTGGCTGCAGAGGAAGCTAGACAAAGATTTTGGCTCTGCATCCTCTAGTACAAGGCAAAGAAGTTGTGAGGGTTGCGGATAGCTAATCCACAGGCTGCCACATGTATACATATATGTTATTTAAAAGACCCGTTCATTTCCCCAGAATAAGAAACCAATGATGTCAAAGTCAAGGTTATGAAAGTTAGTTTCTCTGGCCTGCAGCCATGACCAAATGCCTAATGCAGGACAACCATCTCACCAATATGGGGAGCAAGTAAGTGCAGAGGAAGGGCCACACAAGCTTCTCTGTGGTTTGTGTAGCTGTTGGTTTCCAATCTTTTGGCAGATGGTCTGGTGGATGGATAGGATCATTTTCTTTTTTCATCGTCATTCCGTCCTTGGGAACCCACTCTAGTGTATTAATGAATACCATTCCAACATACCTTTCATATATTTGGATTCATATGTATCCTTAAGACATAAATAATATTTTGTATATGTTTAATTTACCTAAGTGGGATTGAACTATAACTCACATTACTTTATTTATTTATTTATTTATTTAAAAAATAGAGACAGTGCCTCACTAAGTTGCCCAGGCTGGTCTCAAACTCCTGGGCTCAAGTCATCCTCCCACCTCAGCCTCCCAAAGTGCTGAGATTACAGCCATGAGCCACCACACCTAGCCTCACATTATGTTTTTGACACCTACCCATGGTGCTCTAGTCAACTCATTGCTTTTGACTGATGCATAGTTTTCCATTATATGCCTATACCATATATTCATTTCTTTAAGCACAGACACTCAATTTGGGTACAGATTCTTCCTACTAAAATGGTGACACAATGAACCTGTTGAGGGCCTGTGCAGAGTTCTCAGAGGCATTCTTCCAGGAATGGAGCTGCTGGATTACAGAGCATATGTGCATGTCATTTCCTGGTGAGCACGGCTGGACAGCAGCTTCCTCAGAAGCCTCCTGTGCCTGTGTGCCCCTTCACACCTTTAGGCACTGCTTTAGTCCATTTCTTGTTACCACAACAGAATACCTGTGGCTGGTAGTATACAAGGAAAAGAGGTTTATTTATCTCACGGTTCCAGAGGCTGGGAAGTTCCAGGGCATGGCCCCGGCTTCTGGTGAGGGCTTCCATGCTACATCATCACATGGCAGAAAAGGTCAAAGGGGAAGCAGACAAGTGCAAAGAGGGAAACCTGAGGGGTGCCCTGGCTTTATAGCAGCCTACTATTCTTGGAAACCCATCCATTCCTGTGAGAACTGATTTGGTCTTGCCAGAACAAGAACTCATTTACTACGGTGAGCACAGTACCAGCCATTCATGAGGGATCTGTCCCCACAACCCAAACACCTCCTTCTAGGCCTACCTCCAGTACTGCCCCTTTGGGGATCAAATTTCAACATGAGTTTTAGTGGGGACAATCCCATCCAAACCATAGCACTGACTGTGCCGCTGTCCTCACCCCTCACTGACCCAGGATAAGTCTCCCCTGGAGACACTTTCAAATCCAAAGGTATTGCAGTGGAGTGGAGTGTTATAGGAACGCAGCCATAGAAAGTCCGTAGCTGTCTTTTGTGAGCAGCTGTGCAATGAATAATTAAATGATTTCCCCAAGGTCACAACGTATAGATTTGAAATTGCCCCTCTATCTAGTCAAGACCCAAGAAACAGGTTTTCTAGATATTGATTTGCCAGAGACCTGGATGAGAAATAATTTTTTGTTCTCATTTATTCATAAATAAAATTTGGCTACTCTGTGTTAGGCTCTTGACTAGGGGCTGGATATGTTGCAATAGACAAAACAAAGACATCAATTTAATGGATTTATAAATAAATGATTTCATGGAGTCAGGAGTCTAGTGAGCAGTCAAAACAAAGATGTGGCTGGGTACAGTGGTTCACGCCTGTAATCCAAGCACTTTGGGAGGACAAGACAGGCCAGAAGTTTGAGGCTGCAGTGAGCTATGATCGCACTACTGCACTCCAGCCTGAGCAACAGAGGAGACCTTGTCCCTTAAAACACACACACACGCACACACACATGCACATGCACACATACACAGATACAATCACTCAAAAAACATGTACAGTCATGCACTACTTAATGATGGTGATATGTTTTGAGAAATCCATCATTAGGCAATTTGTCATTGTTGGAACATCCCAGAGTGACTTCCACAAGCCTAGATGGTATAGTTTACTACACACCTAGGTTGTATGGCATAGCCTATTGCTCCTAGGTTACACACCTGTACAGTATATTTCTGCATACTGAATGCTAAAGGTAATTAGAACATAATGGTAAGTATTTGTGTGTCTAAACATATCTAAACACAGAAAAGGAGTTCATTCACTTCCCTTTCTGCGTCTGCTGCTGCCATAGCTCCTGTGAAAAACCTTGTGGTGAACGGGGGCAAAAAAAAAAGCAGGTTCTGGCTGGGCGTGGTGGCTCGAGCCTGTAATCCTAGCACTTTGGGAGGCCGAGGTGAGTGGATCATGAGGTCAGGAGATTGAGACCATCCTGGCTAACATGGTGAAACCCCGTCTCTACTAAAAATACAAAAAAATTAGCCGGGCGTGGTGGCGGGTGCCTATAGTCTCAGCTACTCAGGAGGCTGAGGCAGGAGAATTGCTTGAACCTGGGGGGTGGAGGTTGCAGTGAGCTGAGATTGTGCCACTGCACTCCAGCCTGGGCAACAGAGCAAGACTTCATCTCAAAAAAAAAAAAAAAAAAAAAAAAGAAGAGGAAGCAGGTTCTGAAGTTCACTCTTGATTGCACCCACCCTGTAGAAGATGGAATCATGGATGCTGCCAATTTTGAGCAGTTTTTGCGAGAAAGGATCAAAGTGAACGGAAAAGCTGGGAACTTTGGTGGAGGGGTGGTGACCATAGAAAGGAGCAAGAGCAAGATCACTGTGACATCCAAGGTCCCTTTCTCCAAAAGGTATTTGAAATATCTCAACAAAAAATATTTGAAGAATATTGGGCTGCGCCTAGTTGCTAACAGCAAAGAGTTACGAATTACATTACTTCCAGATTAACCAGGACGAAGAAGAGGAGGAAGACAAGGATTAAATTTCATTTATCTGGAATATTTTGTAAGCGTTCTTGAATAAAACTTGGGAACCAAAAAAAAAAAAAAAAAACCACACTGAAAAGAAACAGTAAAAATACAATATTATATTCTTGTAGGGCCATCATTGTATATATGGCCTGTTGTCCAAAATGTCATAATGTACGTGACTGCAACTACAAGTTGTTTTCTGTGCTATGAAAAAGCAGCACAGGTGCTCATTTGGAATGGGGGTGAGGGAAATTCACTCTGAAGAGGTGAAATGTAAGCCAGTCTCAAAGATGACAACACACCAACCAGGTAGAGAGCAGTGGGCAGTCGGTGGGGCAGGAAGAGCATTCTGGGCAGAGAGAACAGCATTGTGCGGAGATCCAGGGATGAGAGAGAATGAAGCAAAGGCAGGCACTGGTGAAAAGGGGAAAGTTGCAGCAGGTGTGGCTAGACAGATAGTTGGGGGAAAGATCAATCTGGCTTGTTATGTATTTTGGATTTTACACTGCATATAATGGGAGATCATTGGAGGGATTAAAAGATGACTCTGGCTCCTAGGTAGAGAATACTTTGAAAAGGTCAGTAATAGATTAATTCGGTTGTTGTAGAAGTTGAAATGAGAGTTGATGGTGACTTGCACTAGAGTTATAAGGGAACAGGTAGAAAGCAGTAGAGGCATTTTAAGTATATTCTGGAGGTGAAATCAACAGAACTTGTAAATGAATTGGATGTTGAGAATGCAAAAGAGGGAGGTGTCCAGAATGACTCCCAGGTTTCTCATATCAAGAGTTGGATAGAAAGAGATGCCATTTCCTAAAATGGAGACTACTGAGAGAGAAGCAAACTATGGGAGGAAGAGTTAGAGTTCTCTTTAAACTATGTTAAGTTAAAGACATCCAAATACAGGTGGTAACCATGGGCAGTCAGATAATATGGATCTGGAGTTCAAATATAGGTGGCAACCATGGGCAGTCAGATAATATGGATCTGGAGTTCAGACAGAGTCTGATTAAAATATGAATTAATCTGTAAGTAGGAGATATTTAAAGCTGTGGAAATCAGTAGATTAACCAGGCAGTGAATGTACATGCAGTGAGGAGAAATGAGGGCTTAGAATACAAACTGGAGGAACTCCCAACATTTAGAGGTCAAGTAAAAGAGGAGGAATCAGCAAATTCGACTGAGGAGTGGCCAGACATGTGGAAGACAACACAAAGAGTATGGTGTTGCAGAGGCCAAGATGAAGCTACGATAGGTCAAAGAAGATGAAAATCATTGGGGTCATGGATTGGGCAACATGGAGGTCACCAAAGACCTTTCTGATAGCTGTTTTTGAGCATGCAAGCCAATGTTGAAATGGATTGAAAAGAAGGTATTTATATTTCTGGCAATATATGGGATTAATTATCCTGGAAAATCTTTCTGTGTAAAGTGCCTGGAAATGTTGGATAAATACAAGAAGTCATTTTTTAAATGCATATCTTACCCAGGAAAATAAAGGAAATCTCTAGGGGTGGAAAAAAAGAGAGATGCCTTGAAACCTCAGAATTTTAGCTGATTCTGAAACTAGAACCGCCCTAGAGGCATTTGCCAGTCTTGGAAACTGAGAAACTTAAGTTTAGCAGCTGTCCAAGAAGAGACAGAAATCTCTTGGGACCTTAAAAGGTAGGAAGTTAGAATTGAGACCCCTCCAAATACAATTGGAATCCTCAAAGGGTGACACATTGAGTGAAAAATGGAATAGGAAAAATCTGCTACCTGGTGAAAGGAGATGGCAAAGGAAGTTCTCTCTCTCGACCTGGGTGGGAAAAACTAAAGACTGTTCCTTAGAATTGAAAACCACATGTCCTCTCACATGTATTTGGGGTTCAAAGTTGCACCACCTAGATGTTGTGGATAATCCCTGGATAAGAAATTACACTGTATGTAATTCTATAGTGTACAAGAACATCTACTGGAAACAAAGCAAATCCTCTTTGGAAGGACACATCCTCTACACAGGCATTCCAAGCCTCACCAGAAATGAGCTCACAATCCAAAATTACAAGACACAAGAATGCCACTCTTGAGTTCTTGGACAACAACAAACTATATGGTTTCTCAAGAGCATTTGGAATTAGAATCATTAGTTATAGAGTACTAAATATGTATGTTTAACATGTTTAAAGAAATAAAAAGTGGGGGAAAAACATGAAAGAACAGAATGCCATCTACAAGGAAGAGAAGCTTGGAAAAGAACAAAATAGTGTTTCTAGTAATAAAAATATAAGTATTTAAGTGGATATTTCAATGATGCTTAAACAGCAGACTAAATACAACTGAAGAGAGGACTTGGAGGTAATCTGGCATCACCCAGAAAGATACATGGCTTAAGAGACATGGAGGACAGAGTGAGAAGGTTGACAGCGTGTCTAGATGAAGAGAAGCAGGAGACAGGTGGGAGAGCATATTCTGAGGAAGTGCCTGAGAAGCTTTTGGAGATCATGAAAAGCATGACTTCTGATTCGGGAATCATAGTGTATCCTGGGTAAGATTATATATGATTTATTTATTTATTTATTTATTTGAGACGGAGTTTCGCTCTTGTTGCCCAGGCTGGAGTGCAATGGCGCGATCTCAGTTCACCACAACCTCCACCTCCCAAGTTCAAGCAATTCTCCTGCCTCAGCCTTCTGAGTAGCTGGGATTACAGGCATGCACCACCACACCTGGCTAATTTTGTATTTTTAGTAGAGACGGGGTTTCTCCATGTTGAGGCTGGTCTCGAACTCCTGACCTCAGGTGATCCGACAGCCTTGGCCTCCCAAAGTGCTGGGATTACAGTAGTGAGCCACCCCGCCCGGCCTGGGTAAGATTATTAAAGGGAACTCTATGCCTGGACACACAGTGGTGGGATCAGACAGGGCACTAGGGACAGAGACTTTTACAGCTGCCATAAGAAAAGGCAGACGAGCAGCAGTTCATGCAGCTGTGGAATCCTCAATGGGAACCAGAGGACAGCAGAATCATACCTTTAAAGCATGGCCAGAATACAAATGTTGACCTCGAAATGCTACTCCAGCTAAACCAACGTCCAGCAATAGCCCAAGAAACAAGACAGAAACTGCTTTCCACCAACGGGTTCCCACTATGAAGGGGTCTTTGGACTTCCAAAGGGTGCACGCTAGGGTGAAGTGGGCAGAGGGTGCCCCAGAAAAGACGCACATCTGAGGTGTCAGGGGACTTGGGGAGCAAAGAATTAGATGGGTAAAGTTGCGCAAATATGTAAAATAGTGGTAATGAAGGGTTGAGTTTGGCCAGTTATAGACAACGTGAGCCCCGTCCACCCCCATCTAGAGCCCCCCGCGCAGCGGGAGGGGGGCCCTCGGCCCAGAAAGCCGTGGCTCCCGTGAACCCTCGCGCTGGCGGCCGGTGCGCAGGCGCCCACGCGTGTACGGTAGGTTCTGGAACGCGGCCGCTGAGGGGTCTGGCGCCATGTTGGGACTGAGGGGAAGGAGGAGAAGCTCCTGAAGCGGCGGGCGCGCAGCGGGAGCGGGAGTGGGGTCGGACCAGGGCAGCTAGAAGCCCTGCCCTTCCCGCCTCAGAGGATCATGACCCGGGCGGCGACCACGAAGGTCGCGGTGGTGGGGGACGTGCCCTGGAGGGGCGGGCGCTGAAAGATGATGCCGTTTCCGGTGACAACCCAGGGACCACCGCAGCAGGCGCCGCCGCCGAAGTGCTATGGCATCTCCTCGCCTATCAGCCTAGCGGTCCCCAAAGAGACGGACTGCCTTCTCACCCAGAGGCTAATAGAAACCCTCAGGCCCTTCGGGGTCTTCGAAGAGGAAGAGGAACTGCAGCGCAGGATTTTAGTTTTGGAAAAATTAAATAATCTGGTAAAGGAATGGATACGCGAAATCAGTGAAAGCAAGAGCCTTCCCCAGTCTGTAATTGAAAACGTTGGCGGAAAGATTTTTACGTTTGGCTCTTACAGATTAGGAGTACATACGAAAGGTGCAGATATTGACGCCTTGTGCGTTGCACCAAGGCATGTGGATCGAAGCGACTTTTTCACCTCATTCTATGTTAAACTGAAACTACAGGAGGAAGTAAAAGATTTAAGGGCTGTTGAGGAGGCATTTGTGCCAGTTATCAAACTGTGTTTTGATGGGATAGAGATTGATATTTTATTTGCAAGATTAGCACTACAGACTATTCCAGAAGATTTGGACCTAAGAGATGACAGTCTGCTTAAAAATTTAGACATTAGATGCATAAGAAGCCTTAACGGTTGCCGGGTAACCGATGAAATTTTACATCTAGTGCCAAACATTGACAACTTCAGGTTGACTCTAAGAGCCATCAAACTGTGGGCCAAGTGCCACAATATCTATTCCAATATATTAGGTTTCCTCGGAGGTGTTTCCTGGGCCATGCTGGTAGCAAGAACTTGTCAGCTTTATCCAAATGCAGTAGCATCAACTCTCGTGCGGAAATTCTTCTTGGTATTTTCGGAATGGGAATGGCCAAACCCAGTGTTACTGAAAGAACCTGAAGAACGGAATCTTAATTTGCCTGTATGGGACCCAAGAGTAAATCCCAGTGATAGGTACCATCTTATGCCCATCATCACACCAGCATACCCACAGCAGAACTCCACATACAACGTGTCTGTTTCAACCAGGATGGTCATGATTGAGGAGTTTAAACAGGGACTTGCTATCACACACGAGATTTTGTTGAGTAAGGCTGAGTGGTCCAAACTCTTTGAAGCTCCAAGCTTCTTTCAGAAGTACAAGCATTATATTGTACTTCTGGCAAGTGCACCAACAGAAAAACAGCATTTAGAATGGGTGGGCTTGGTGGAATCAAAGATCCGAATCCTGGTTGGGAGCTTGGAGAAGAATGAATTTATTACACTGGCACATGTGAATCCACAGTCATTTCCAGCACCCAAAGAAAATCCTGATATGGAAGAATTTCGTACAATGTGGGTGATTGGGTTAGTGCTAAAAAAGCCAGAAAACTCTGAAATTCTCAGTATTGATCTCACCTATGATATCCAGGCTTTCACAGATACTGTTTATAGGCAAGCAATGAATAGTAAG